CCTCCCTCCCTCCCTCCCTACAGTGTAGGGATCAGGGAAAAGGCCTCAGCTTTTCCTCCAACAAATCTGAAGCGACACCAGTAAATTGGGCGGTGCAAATTGGGCCGTATGGGGCCCTGCTTAGTATGCAGAGAGATGCGGCTTTGGCTGTGGAAAGAAAAAGAGGAGATGAGAGGAGAGGAGTCCATTATGAAAGCCCTTCTATACTGTAATATAAAATAAAGGCCTCGAAACCTTCATACTGCATTGACTGTGTAAGTGTTTTTTATACTCTTAAGCTCTCCGCCATTCACTATGTTGTTGAGGTTTAATGCTGTAAAGTGCAATGACATCATTTCACAAAACACAATGCACTGGCTCATAGCACGACTGCCCCCTCAAGTGAAGCTACAGCGAGGTTTTGCAAAACTCTCTCAGTCTACTGCTCAATATATTTGCTAATTTAACATATTACTATATTCTCTCTCCTGCAGCTGCACACAAATGCCTCCAGAAAGTGCAAAAGTGATAAATACACTTACTGACAGTGAGCAATGATGATGAGCAATGTGGAAGAAAAACATGCAGTGTAGCATGTTACAATATATCATATATATCTCATATATATATAATATACAATATATCTCAGAAGGTAATGTCTTTGTCATGTCTCATACAGTAAACATAAAGCTCTGGCAGGTCAAAAATCAGACACAGATGAATGCGTAACCATTATAACATTCACACATGCACGTTGGCTGCAGAGAGACGGAGACAAGAAGAATGAAGAGAGTGATGTTTGCATACATCTGGGAAATTTATGGAGGCAACTGTCTGTCCAGCTTTATCACTCTTTGATGCTCTGGTGAAATTTAGCACTGTTTGAAATTCATCATTCGTCCACTGGCCTCTGTGACAGGCAGTCATTCAGTCCCGTACAGTAGATCTGCTGAAAATGGAGTCCTATATACAGTAATGAAGCAGCCTATTAACTCTCCTTAGTTAAGTAAAAATGGGTTTGACTAGACTTGATGACTGCATACTGCAAAAGAGGATCCTGCATTGAGACATGGATCAACAAGTATTCACAAATGTTTCTTAGCATTTCTTTACCTATAAAATGAGATTTATCACATTGGGGACATTTTGAGAACATAAATCCATGTCAGTCACATAGAAAATTTGACAGAACTGACAAAACTGATGCATTTCTGTCATTCATCTGCCTACGCTGAGATTACAGAGTACTAAACATTATTAGACCATGATCTGCCACATACACAAACCACAGTGGTGAATCACCACCTCAGGGTTTGCTTTAGTAGTGGTACTGCTTAAACAAATGTATGTTGTGTCCCTAAAGTAACAGGCACTTGATGATTTTTTCCTGTATTTTATCAAAATACAGCAGGAAAAATATCTCTGCACCAGACAATTAGTTTGTTTGTTCGTCTTATACCAAAGCTTAGTACCTCTTCAACTTCCAGTCAGATAATCAGTGGGATTACTGGATTGCTGCCTTACCGCTATTCTAACTTGATCTAGTCATGTCTTCTGAGCAGTGATGTAAGTTACCATGACTATTATTGTAAATGCAAATGTGGAGAATTGCTTCATTACTTTTGCCTGCCCAAGTTTCTCCTGGTAGTCTGGGGATTTACTCTGATGACCTCGAAACACGCTAATGACATGAAACCCAATTAGCCACTTTAACATTTTCAGACTCCTCTGAGTGGCTCAGTGGCCCACTGGTTAGCCCTGTTGCCTTAACAGTAAGATGAACCCAGGTTTGACTTCCCATTCGGACTGCACTCTTCATTTTATAATAGATTTCCTTTTAACAATGCACAGTGAGAATCCTAATCTACTTCTGAATATGAGCACAGTGTGTGTCTATTACACTTGGGCAATTGTACATATTAGTAAAGTTTAGTAAAGATGGTTTTTGGAGACAAGTGAAAAGGCCTTTTGCCTTCAGAAATGCATGTAAATATTGCTTATCGCAGTTCGTAATGTACATTTTACATTTTACATACAGTAATATGTTTCAGGATCTCCAAGAACCTGATTAAGACTTAAGTAATTTTGTACCATCTACTAATGTTTAGACTGTCCAGATTATTGGAAAGGTGTATCTTATACTGGACATTTTCACATTTTCACAGGAGACTGACTGTGTTAGAATCAGCATTTTGCAGCTATACTCCTCCCTGTGGCACCGACAGTGTGCTTCTTAACAGAGAGCATTAGGGGGAACGATGTTACTACTGTTATCTCTGGTCTTACTGGACCAAAATCACTCGCTGCTGCTGCTGTAATATTCTCCTCTGCTGACTGCTAACTTACTCTTTCACTCCGTCATCAAACCTGCAAGCTACCTGCTCAAAATGTTTGCCCACATGGCAGCTGGTACATTGTATTAGCATTGGGAGTGGGTCTAGTTTGGCTCATGAAGGTGGACAATGGGTTGTTATCTACAGGAACAGGGACAGGAGTGTCAGGGTAGGTGTCACAGAGACAGAATAAAAAAAACACACACAAATATGCACATCTATAAATTAAACATACACGCCTTCATTGAATCACACACTGACTGCTGTGAAGTCCAAATTGGCAGTCGGCCCAGAGTGTGTGTGTGTGTGTGTATGTGTGTACAAGGCTTAGAGCTAACGACATTAAAGCCTTTTAAATGGCTTTAAAACAGGAACTACAAACCACTGTGATATCTACTTTGGGATTTACATACATACAGTATGTAAAGCAACTTGGTGTCCAAGGAAGATAATAAACTAAAGACAGACAAACTAAATGCACCAAACACACAAGATTTAGGGTGGGAGGACAGAATCAAGAAAGAGACAGAATAAGTAAGTGAAAGAGTCGCAGAAACAGAGAGGGAGATAGAGAGAAAGAAAGAGAAGCAGAGATAAAAAATAAACATGTTTTCTCCCCCTCAGATCTTCAACCTAGTCTCTGCTGATTTCTTCTCCCACTCGCTGACAGTGAGGCTCAAAGCCCGACATCATATCAACCTCTTCAAATATTTAGACATTATTCAAGTCGTCGTCTTTTTCCCGTTTTCCCTCTGTCAGGCGGAGAGAGAGGTAGGGGGTATGTTTCAGCGATTAATATTCCCACAGACTTTAGTGAGCGGCAGTTAGGAAATAAAAGGCCATACACTTCCAGCTGACTGATTGGGTCGTTTATCCACATCACCAAGTGATATTTCTACTGCGCGGATTTTTTAGATCCCCTGAATGATGAAACAGTGTGTGTTTGCACGTGAGCGCACTGCCATTTTGCCTCCTCCCTCCGTGACTCTTTGAAGGCTGACAGCTCAGTGTGCCATTTGCAGGAGGGCAGATGACAGCAGTCCAGAGAGAGAGGAAGTAAGTGAGGGAGAGAGAGAAAGAGAGTGAGAGACATAGAAAGAGAATATGCTAACAGCCAGTGATAAAAGGTGAGAATGTGAGGAGACTGTGAGAACGGCTGTGGAATTATTAATGGTTATTATGAGTGCAGTGTTGATTAATGGAACATCCTAATAGTGTGATTCTCACAATTAGGAGTAATGGATGGTACAGTAAAACAGCTACAGAGTGCAACATGAATGAGTGATGCCAGTCCGAAGGCTCATTCTGCATAATTAGCCCATAGACGTGTCTTTGTAGATTGATGCTGATGGAGGAGGTAAAAGGGAGGGCAGCACAGGCCCTTACAGTAAATAGGCAAAAAGTCGGTCCAGTTTATTTAAACAGACTGTGTGTAATTAGTATAAGGTCAGTACAGCACACAATACACATTTGTGTATGTCCAAGATCTGCATCTTTGCCAATATTATTCTAGTAAGAGTGGGCAGGTAATGTTCTTTCAGTGTGCAGCTAATGTAAAGCACACACAAGTGAACACAAGCGATAGCAGTTCGTTCTCTGTGCGTTCAAACTGCCGAGGGATGGGTTAGTCTGACACAAGGGCAGGAGGTGTGGGAGGCTGTTAGTCTCTACCACAAGAGGAGAAATCAGTATCTCAGAAATAGCGTTATTTACATGTTGTGTGGTCTTAGCTCCCAGCCAGGCACCAGTACCTTTGCCTATGTTCACCTGGTTAGCATTCAGTCGAGGACAGGACTTCTGTGGAGTGCTGCATGCTGTCAGTCACTGGGGCTAAGCTAACATTAACACGCTGCTTGTTAAACCATAA